ACATCTGAACATTCAGAGAGAACAAGTGACTAGAATCTTAAAGGCGTGTAGAGTTCAGTGGACAAGAGATGAAAGAGTACACCATCCATCCAGTGAAGAAAAGAGACTCTAAGCCCCAATTCTTTCCTCTGACTTCTCTCCTCTTTTAAGGATCAGAATTGGGTTTTAGTGGACGCTTTAGAAGTTATTCATAATAAAAACTGAAATATAATAAAATGATACTTACATTATAACTATATTTGTTATAAAATGAAATATAATTAACATATTATGAAGATATTAAGAAAAGAGTAGAAACTGGTTCTGTGTACATTAGATAAGTCATTTCAGAGCCAAAAGCATAGCATAGTGCGGGTAGACAGGAGGTACTAAATTTTTGAAATAACACTTTGAAAACCTGCTTTCTGTGCTCGTGAATTTTTAAGTAAAGACCTTCTTTGTGTCTTTTCCTTTCTGAACTATAACTCAGGGATCAGGAATGTGATATTTAGCCCTCAGTAGGACCCCTTACACAAACAGCTCCTTGAAATTTGGCATGTAGCTGGATCATAAATTTTATGATGTGTGAAGTGCATGTTTGAGGAAGTATTCATTAGAAAGGCCATAAGTTAAATGAGGAGGGGTGGCCATACCTTACACATGCCATCATTTCTCATCTCTTTATATATCCAGACCCAAGTGTGAAGCTTAAATTTGTTCTTAATATATTCTCCTGACAAATGTTTTACTCTAGTCAAAGTATTTTCTTTCACATCCCCTGAGAGTTCTCTATAGCAATTAAAGGAAAATGGAAACATGTTTTGAAATCACTCTCTGGATGTTGATGTTTAGTATCGTGTGTAGATATCATAGAACGCTTTGTAAGACAGGTTTAGTGAAACACAGTATTAATTCTCAGTGATGATTAGAGTAATTTATATTTAAGATCATACGTTGGATTTGACAACCAGCTATTCATAGTACCATCTATGCAAGTCATGTTTTAAGCAGTGGCGTGTGATAGTGGTTTATACTCTGTTACCCAATCTGAGATAGCCTTTGGTCTCTGGTTTCAAGAAGGCATTGTAGGCATTCCTAGAATGAAAGATATGGTTTAAAATTTTTAATTCTGTAGAACTTAAAAGATAGGTGGAGCATTTGCCTATCCTGCCAGAGTTCTGGGCTCACTCTCAGCCCCACAGAAAATGAAGAAAAATAATCATCACACTATGATAATCAAAACTTTAAATTAAAAATTGTTTGTAGCTTGGACTGTGCTGGGTGTTGGGTTGCCAATGGGTTTTACTGACCTCTCTATGTAAATACAGTTAATGTTGCACATAGTGAGAATAACACGTGAATCTACAGCTTCCTATACTGTTAAACAAAAAGAAAGTGTACATGTTTATAATGGGAAAATGACTCATATTAAAAAATTTCATTAAAACATCCTCTATAGCATGTATCCTAAATAAATCCTTCTTGGGTGTAATTTATATTTTTGAAAATTCCTTTTTTTATTTATATATGGAGATTATAATATAATTACATCATTTCCCCTTTCCCTTTCCTCCCTCCAAACTCTTCTACATACACTTCCTGGATCTCTTTCAAATTCATAACCTTTTTTATTAGTTGTTGTTATGGACATATATGTATGTTCATATATATGAAAGAATATTCATATTCCTAAAAGTAACCTGCCCTGTCTGTTTGTATGTATGTTTTCAGGGCCAACCACTTGGTATTAGATAACAAATTGATGTGCGTTTCCCAGGGAAAAATTTTTCCTCTTGCTTTCAACATCCCTTAGCTGTCTAAAGTTCTGAGGCCCCAGGGTCTTTCTCCCATTCTACTTTAGCATGTCTGTTGTTACTGTCCTTGTTTGGTTCTTATTGGTGAGATGATATATAGCTCTTGACATTACTAGGAGATACAATCTTAGAACAAGTTCTGTTATTCTCTGGCTCTTTCCCTGATCTGCACTGAGCTCTGAGCCTTAGGTGTGGGAGATGATTTGTAGAAGAGCCACAACCACCACCAACATGACCCAATAGCCCTACGAGTGCAGGAGTGCCATGCATACCTTGGCAATAACCTGCAGCTACCTCACTGGATTTAATACATACTCAACTAGAAGAAAACCATGCCTGGCACTGAAACCTAGCCGACTCACTAGGGCTAGTGAAGTCCTGGATATTGGTAGAAAACCTGCAACTGCTCCTCTACTCTACCACACCAGAATAATCCCTAAGTACCTTCTAAATATTTATTCTTATACCCACAAATAAGTGTCAGCCTCATCTCTCCCCATCAAAGAAATTTCTATTTGCAGCATACTTAGACCATTATAAAAAAAACAACTAATTAAAATTTTGTTGTGAAAATAATTTTAACTTCAATCTTATTTTTTCCCAAAATAACTGAATTTTTTGAGCATGATATTAACCTCTACTAAAGTAAAAAAAAGGGGGGATCTGAATACACTGGCAGGAGTTACAGAAGAGAAACTTCTTATAATATGAAAAAATGTTGATTTCATCCAAAGAGAAAAGTAACATTGTATATTGTGCAGCATTTAAAAGTTTTCTCTGCATTAGTTGCCAATGTTTATCTTTAAACACCCATGCCTAAACAACTTCAAACAAAGTTATTCCCCAGTATAAGTTACCCTGCTTTCCTTGTTACCTGTTACATCTCTTTTGTAAGGAACAGGATAATCTATGGACATTCCAATAGACAATATAAAAGAAATGTTCATGAGGTCTCAACCTTACACAAAGAACTATAGGCAACTGAAGAAAGCTGGGAGTGAGAGAGGCGGTATTCCCCCAATAAAAAGTATACCAATTAGCTGTCTAGAGCCAAATATCAGTACTGAAAACATACATTCAAGTAAAATTATATGGAATAAACAATTTGTATTTAAGAATATATGCATACATATATATGCATGAATACAATAAAAATTTTTGAAAAAAATTGGTTGGCCATTAATTTAAGGAGAGTAGTTAGGGGTTAATGGGAAGGTTTGGAGGGAGGAGAAAAACTGTAACCACAACCCCCAAAAATGTTCGTGATGATAATGCTTTAAGCCATCAAGTTCTATGCTAGCCATTGGGATCAGTCACCTGGATTTTCTACCTAGCACTGAAAACTGTTATCTACACGACTTGTGCTACTTTTGTCCTTCTCCAGAATTCATTAGTCCTAAAATCATCTACCCCACATATTTGTTATGGTGATTAAACGAAATAAAATTATAAAGCATCAAGCCCTTTGCATAACTCCCAGAAATTTTAGCAAGCAGCTGCTGCACTATCTTTATAGATTACTGTGTGCCATGTGTCACAACAGAGTCTCTGTGCAGTCTCATGACAGAGCTATAAATGACCTGCAGAGAAGATGTAATAGTCCCTCTTTAACAAATGAACCTAAAACTCAGACTCCTAAGACCAAGCTGATAAAAGGCAGAACAATGATTCAAAGGCAGACAATTCTACCTCAATTTCCCATCCATCATACCCTGTCTAATACAATACAAGTTTCATACCAGGGTTCAAATTTTAGCTAAAAATTAAAAGCAAATAAATGAAAAACAATTCCCCATTCTGTCACCCATATATCAAGGGTCAATTCATTAGTAGTAGCTTTGGTACTAGAGCACACGGATACTTCCATCACTTCAGAACGTTCTACTGAACATTATCATGCTACAGCACCTGCCTATGCAGCTTCAGTTACAACACAAAACATTTTTCTAAACACTGAAGCAAATATTAATATATAAATTACTTAACTTCTGTGGGGATATCCACAGAGCTGGAATTATTCCTTGTAGTTGAGGGAATAATAGGAATAGTTGAGAGGTAATAGAAATACCAAAGCCAATATGAAAATATCCAATAATTCTGACTCAGTATATAAGCTGTTGTGTGTAATAATCCAGAAATGTGGGCACCTAATCATTAGCAGCATGATTAGGTCTTCCTAAATAAACACATGACTCATTCCTGCGGATACTCTCCTGTAACTGCTAGAGGAGCAGCAAGTGGCTGTGCATCTGTATATATCTTCCCACAGCTAGAGCTACTATCATCTAAAAGTTTTCTATTAGAACAGAAATCTCTGTGGACCGCAAAGAGAAAATGATGGCCAAGTCAGAACTATTGTAAAAGACAATCATTGATCCATTCTCCATTTTTAAACTAGAGGCATCGGGGATGGCTTCCATATACAACACATTCCCTAGTTAGAGAAATAGCATCGCCCATGATAATGAGACACTGAGTCCTCATCCTTTTACGTGTTTAAAGGGATTGCTCTGCTGAGGCGGTTTCCTTCCCAGGAAAGAAAGAGCGTGAATGGGTCAGCAGACATTCTGTCTGTGTTCTACTTCTTTTAGGGAATTAAGGTTTTCAAGCCCATAATTTGTTTTCCTTTCTATTTTCTGAGCAAGCATATTTATGAGCATTTCATCATCATGAATGAGAGAACAAAGAAAGAGAGATCTGACCTTCTCTTTCCAGGAACACATTCCCATCGCGTTGACCTTTAACAACAGCTTGATTACAAGACAACATCCAGGCAGAAGAAATAAGAGGAAGAAGAATCTGTCCCTACCCTCCTGCCAGAACAGTCATAATGTCGTTCTAGGGCAGAAACCTAATTTTATCACTATTTGGAATCAGACAATGTAACCTGCCTGTTATGCACACACTACCTCACTGTGGTTTCCTGGGTGAAGAAGTCTTAAGGATACAGATATCAAGGGCCATTTTGTCATCATCTAATCAACATATCTTTGAATAGATAGGACTTATTGAATACCTGTTGTACGCCAGACATATTATAAGTAAGAAGAATATAATAGGCACAGCCCCAAAGAAAAAGGACCCAGTGACCAGAATTTCTGATATGATAAAATCAAAGATTAACTCCAATGACTGTGTTTTCTTTTTAGGTTAGTGTCTTATCTAAAAACAAGATAATAAAGTTTTTTTAATTTTCTTAATCCACAGAATGCCAATATTGGGGCTCGGAGCTTCAGCTGCCTACTCTGAATTTTGGAGATGTTTTAAAAGATGATGAGCATGCATACAAATGGCTCTCTAGCCTCAAGAGAGTAGGCATTGTGAGACTCACTGGAGCAGCTGACAAATGTGGAGAGATCACAAAACTTGGGAAAAGGATTGGCTTTTTGTACCTAACATTCTATGGGTGAGTCTTCAAATGGTTTGGGTTCTGCCATCACAAATACAGTTGGGTCTATCCGCAAGAGCGGGTAGGCTTTGATTATAAGATAACTCAATTATTCTTGTGCTTTTATTGTAGAAAATACTAGCAGTGAAAGAGACCTTCACAAGCCAAAGTTTACACACTAGAAGACACAGTCTTACTCAGATGTGTTTGGTTTGGCCCATAAGCTGTTGAAGGAAAATAGAATTAGTTATTAATACTTGAAAACTAGGAACCTTGAAATTTATGTAGACTTATCTTTTCTTGAAAAACCAGATCTAGCAACACACAGCCTAAGCCTCTCATGCCAACAATCTACTGATTAAAAACAGTCTCTACCTTGCATCATTAGCTGAAGTCTTCTCCCTCTTCAGACATGCAAGGCTGTGATATCATAGGGTTATGTTGTCCCTAGTGGAGAGGAAAATGCACAGATGATTAGCAACATTCAATCATCTACCCTCAATCACTTTAGTGAGTTTATCATAGCAAAAGACTATGTCATGGTTAGACATAGACAACCTACTCCCGACCCTTAGCATATGAATTTACTTATACTATTAGTAGATTTGCTTTATAGAAATGTATATAGGTTTTTTCAGTCACAAGAACTTATGCTGTCATTGATATTTCAAAAATCATAGACCAATGAATGGGAAGAAATATTTGAAATTATTAATATTTTTCTTTAATTCCTTTAAAGTTTCTGAAATAGAGACTATCCTTCAGTTTGTGAGTAGGAAATATGAAACTGAAAGGATTAGCTGATAATCCAAATTTATATGAGTAATAATAAATGAGGCAAAGCATAAATCCAGGGTTGCCTCCACTTCAGTGCTAATAACACAAAGAAAATACATGAGAAGTTGTTGAGTTGAACTAAATGGAACATCTCTAAATAAATCTTCTTCAAGTTATTTTGCTTAGTTTTCATTTATGAACAACAAACATTTCGCTCTGTTCCAATGTACTTCACAATTTCATAACAGTGATCAGTTTGGGTACTCTTTAAGAGGTTCCTAGCTCAACCCAAACCAATCACACATCTAACTGGGGGTCAGAATCTAAATCATGATTTATGGTTTGACATTTGTTTTGTTTTGTTTCTACAAGTCCTATAAAGGGACTTAATAACTTGGCCACTGATCTAATATTGTGAAATATTTTGGAATAAATAGTAATGGTCCACTGTCAAAACAAATCAGACCTACTATACCTCTTCATTCCATTTTTCCAAGACCTTCCCACCCAGCTGGGGTGGTTTATGCTATCCCACTGCACCTCTCCTGGATGATCCAATCTTCCCAAACTCTCTCACTCTGCACCCGCACCTGTGTCAAGATTTCCCTTTCTTACCACCTCACAACTGTACCCACAAATTTTCCTCCATATTTTCTGCAATTTTTAATTCTCTAAACTCAATAACTAGCACAGGGTTTTGTTTTCATGCTGATTTTGTTTTGCTTGCCTACTTCAGACTTGATTATCCCTGTTGGTGTCAAGAGAATGGGATAAATTCAGTATTTTATTTGAAGTTATCCTTCTATTCTGCTCCCCTTCTCAGTGGTGTAAGAAAGAGATATTCAAGTGTGGGTAACATGAGATTTGAAAAAAAAATATTCAGGGACTTTCATTAGCATTCTAAAGGGCACCTAAAATAGTCTGTCTCAGCCTGGGCAACATGTTGGAGTAGGTCATTTTTAAACTACAGATATCTGGGTCCTATCTTCAGAACTTTTCTTTAACATGAGCAATATTTGACCTCTGCCTTGGGACTTTAAGAACTCAGCAGATGATTTACATGTGTAATTGAGAACTTCTGGTGAAGAAGAAGGGACTCTTCTAGACATAGACAGTAGAACTTCGGGTGCCGTACAACCTCTGAACTCTCACAGTTGTATGTCACAAAAGCCCCTTATTATATTCTTGAAAAATAAGTATCCACTGTTCCTTTTCATTTAAATAGTTACTTAAATGTTTAAGAAACATTTAGAAGAGCTATTTTAGAAAACATTGAGAACAGTTAGTTTTAGTTCTTGGCTATCATCTCAATGGTTACTTGATTTGCAAAATGAAAAACAATAGATTACAGCTTTTCATGCATTCTTTGTATATAGTAGGTGCAGATCAATGCTTACTGCCAAAATGCATGTGTAGATGTTTTTAATGGGCTGCCAAATAGCAGATGAAGACAGTAGTCACTGTAGCATTTCATAATTACACACTTACATTCAACTAAATCAAAATGACAACCAATTTGTGGACAAAGTACACGTCAGTTTCTACCTGTGAAGTTTCAGCACTAATGCCCGATGATGAAAACTTTCCTGGAATAAAGAATAAGATGTGGTAAACAAACTCACACTTTCAGTTTTGTCAATTACATACGGATGTGAAGAGGAGGTTGTAAAAAACAATAGTAATCTTTTCAAGATTTAAGTCTTAATTTAGAGAGACATATTTTATACAGAGTAGAGACTGAGAAGTGAGAACTCCTGCACCAACAGAAATAAATTGTTGAACTTACAGAAGCCCTTTGGGGACTCTATGAAGAAATTATTATTTAAGAAATTATTTTAACTTCATGACATAATGTAAACCAGTAATCCTAAACTACATTTTTCCTGAATAGTGCCATCTTCCATGATTACAAATTAGAATGTGGAGAATGTATCCAACAGAGTAAATCCTAAAGAAAGAATTGCTGTCAATGAAATAGAATGTCTTTCTTGAAGATCAGTGTATGTAAGAAACTATACTAGGCATTTTTTCTAAACTAGGCTTGAGTTCTTATGTTATAGAAAATTGATGTTTACTATATATGGATGAATATAAATAGTTCAGTTAGCTTTCTCTAAATAATCTAAACAAATAAAATCCCACTAAAACCAAAGACCAAACTTCAAAGAAGCCAGAGACACTTGACATTGCAAATGAAGTAATATTTCAATTGACGCATGCCAATAGAAGATCCAAGGGGATGAATGCCCTCTCAACACAGCAGAAAGCAATGCAAATAGAATGAAAATGGAGTAGCATCTAGCAAACAAGATGGCCTTTAAAGAAATTACGTTTGGGGCATGGTAATATTGCTGATTAGTTACTCTTCTTGAACAGGACCAGAATTTGGTTTCCAGCATCTTACTACTATATAACTCCAGCTCCGGGAGATCCAACAGTCACTTCTGGTCTCTTTGGGCACCTGGATTCATGTGCACAAACCCACACATAAACACACAACATTCATAATTTAATTTATGCCTGCTACCATTTATAAGTATGTGTGACATTCATCAAACCTATTTAACTGACCACTCAATGTATGTGTCATCTCCTCCTAACCCCCATGCTATTCCAGCTCAGACACATACCATTCCTCCTCGAGTCTGCCAAAAACTAAGCTAAGACATCGGTATCTCGTTGCCTCCTGGCCACTAGACATGGTGGGCAATCAAAGTTCAGTTTTTTAGGGCCAGCTCAGTGCCTATGCTTTAGAGATCCTGTGAGAGTGACTGTCACCATAGTCTCTTCCTCAGTTGTTTGCTCAGAATTGCTTCCATCCCTCTTTCTAAACCTTTCTCACATGATTTTCCCATCCCCTATCTTTCATTCTCTTGACAGACACCTTGGGCCAAGCCTGTTTAGGGCTGGTTTTGTTTTATGTTATGTTATGGTTTGTTTGCTGTAGGGGGGCTATTTGGTTTTGCTTTGTTGGTCTTTCTAACTTAGTCAATGAAGCTTTTTCATCATCCCTTTCAACAACTATCCCTGGTGCATCCTCCTTGATCTGGAAGCTTCTTGAGCTGCAAGGAAAGTATCTCCTTCAGCCAAGCCCCATTCTGTGAAATTATTCCAACGCTTTCTTCTGAAGTCTGATAGAAAACAGCATCTATTTGCTTTTCACCCAAATGAACAAATTTTGGATTCTCAATGGCCAATGAGGAAGGACAAAATGTGAATTCTCTCCTTCACTAATTTATAACATAAAATAATGTTTGCCTTTTTTGTTGAATAGTCTGATTTTATGACAAGTTCAGTATAAAAGAAAATGAACACAGTTGTAAACTATCCCTATTGATTATTTGCTGGTTTGTGCAGTGCTTAAAACTATAATTTTATTAAGACCATACTAAGAAATACAAATGATCTCATATAGGAAAAACAATCAAACCTTCAAAATTCTTTTTCTCATTAATTGTGTGATTACATAAACTGACTGGCTATTTACCGCTGTTTACATAAATGCATTTGTGTGTCACAAAGCAAGAAAGGAGAAGAATTGAGAGAAGAGTGGTCCAATTTGAGCAGTTAACCTGCCGTGGCTATAATAGCCAGTATCACCTCTAAAATAAAGATGTAGTTACCATTGCCCTGTTCACATTAAGCACCTTGCCAGTCAAAATGGTGGCCACCTCAGCATCATATCATCAGTAACAATTCAATGTCTGACACACAAGCTACTGCTAAATGAGTTTTTGAGCTAAAGACTTTCATCAAGTTGAGGCTTTGCAGTTTCTTTCTTAGCGTTATTGAAAACTGTCTATCTTTGTCTCAAAAGTTAACCTTATGAAAAACTCACAGTAACTCTTCATCAGAAAGTCAAGTATAAGAGGCAAAGGCTTGCCACCACAGCTAGCTAAACTACTTTCCAGAGTGAGGCCAGAACTGCAGATTTATAGTCTTGGGGGTTTGTTTTTCTAAAAATATTTTATTTGCCCGGGTGAGCATATAGCCCACATAGCATGGACTAGACTGCGTGGACGATGAACTGAAAGTGAAAACAATATGAAGTTAACTTCAGGAATAAGATTAAGATGATGAGGCACGGAAAGAAAAGTGGTAAAATAAATTTGATGTTTGTCAAATGTTATCCTATTGCCAAATAACACTTACAAGGACCCGTCAGAGCCAAAAAATATAAATAAATACTTTGCAATACTTTCTTCAAAGACTTTAGAAACAAATTAAGGCCTGAAGACTCT